TTCCTTCCTTCCTTCCTTCCTTCCTTCCTTCCTTCCTTCCTTCCTTCATATTATACTATCCACCTCATCTCTGGGCCATTTTCAACTGTATAATGAAACCATATAAATATATTAATAAAACATAGCCTAAAAACTGAATGAAAAACAAGGTAAAATTTCCCTGGAAAAGTAAATTGAGTTAAAGTTTGAAGGCAAGGAAGTTAACAGTCCAGGAGGGGTATGCTCTGGTTCTCAACCATCCCCATAGCTGCAACATAGGCCCCTATGCTAATTGGCAAAGTTAGGTCTTAACACATTTGGAACAAATGGAAAAATGGGGAGGTTTCCCTCAGCTACCTGGATAAGTTATTCATTAAGTGGGTGGTGGGTGGGGGAAGACCTCATCATAGATCCTGTCAGTCAAAATTCCCTTTCCAATGGAAATGCAGCATGCCCTCCCTGGTTGTCTTGGGTGCAAAAGGAAGATATAATTGGTACAAGATTCCTCGGGTATCCATGAAGGTTTTAAAGGTGAAAACCCATCCATTATATTGCACTTGAAAAACGTGTGAATGTTCCATTGGATGGAAAAGATAGATGATAGATAAATAGATTAGATTAGATTAGATTAGATTAGATTGAGATGATAGAAAGATAGATAGATAGACAGACAGACAGACAGGCAGACAGACAGACAGACAGACAGACAGACAAGGGGGATAAATACTTAGACAGGAAAGGTGCTCTCTTAATACTGAAGTGCAACATTCAGTGCAAATATGGCCAACATTTTAAAAATGAACCAAAACTACAGCATAGGTTTTGCCCCTTTGACAGTAAAGTACATGAGATGATTCACTTAGGGTTTGTAACACACATACACATACACGGTTTTGCAGGAGAGTTTATTTTAAGAAGGATTGTTTTGGAAACAGACTATTTCACAAAACCTCTGATACCCATCATTTTTCACAAGGAATGGCTTTTTTGATTTCTCATTTCCTACTTTTTCATATCTTGTGACCATAATTATCTGAGGACCTTAAGTTAGAGTTAAGATTTCTTGGTTAACTCTACTAACCAAGAGATATTTTCATTTGCTCATCCATTGACTATTGAAACAAAGACATGAATATGACATTTTCTGCTATTCCCAAGATCTCAATAATTCAAGTTTTATAAAGGGGCTTTAGCTTATGCATGGGCCTCTGTTGTAAGAAGTGAAAAAGAAAGAAAAATAAGAAAATTGTATCATGAAATTCTGATCTAAACTTTCGAACTGAAAGTGAGCTTAAAGGTAAAACAGCCCAGCTCTGTATTCAGGGTGAGATCTACTCTAGTTCCTCTGACAGATACTAGAGAAAACCACTAGTGCAAGAGAACTAACCATGTCATTGAACAGCCTAGACCATGCTTGATAGCTGCTATGGACCTCTCCTTCTTTGTTTTTTAATCCATTGTTTTGAACATCCCATGAGAAAAAATGTGCACCCCTTCTTTTTGTGTGAACTTCCAAATAGTGAACGACTCCTATTGTAACTGTGGACACCTCCGATAACTTCCTTTTTCCTACAACTTCTGATTCTTTTCATTTTGTTTAAGGACATTATGATCCAAACATTACCCCATTTCTACCCATGCAAAAATAGCATCTCACTTCCATGTCATCAACATCATTGTATTTACAGTTTGGCTTTATACAATTCATATCAATTAACTGGAGTGGATTCAGTTAGATGGATCAAGTGGGTAGAATGTCATAGCCTCAAGATGAATTTAAGATTCCACAATGAATTCATTGTTTTGATGTTCTTGGAGTTATATTCCTCCAAAAATTCAAATGATTTTATTGGTCTGAATGTTTTTTTTTTTTCATGGAAGAAAAAAAAAACCCAGAGTCAGAATCAGTTTCCTGTTTTTGCCCAGAAAATCAGGCAAAATCAGTCAGTGTGCATCTCCAGCACAATAATAGATGGCCATGTCAGAAGCTGACATGGAGTTCAACTGAAGAGAATATTCATTCTTGGGATTGTCTGAAGTAATGGTGGTGCGGCTTTGAAGAGAAGATGAAAACCATTTTCTCCCATCATTGGGAAAGATTCTGGCAATCCATTCTAAGCCTTTCCCTGGAGGCTGACGGACCCAGTTCCAAGCATAGCTACTACTAGTGATGGAGACACCAGTAACTTTACAGACCAAATTGAGATTTTGTCCTGGTCTTACAGTTCCAGGCCCCGATGATTCAAGTTGAACCTCAGCAAGGGACCCTAAAGAAATAAAAGATAAAAAACGATCAGGGCACACGAGCACCTGGAAAAAAATAATCACAGTTGCTTTCTCTAAAATTGGGTTCTTACATTTTGGCATGGCTATCAGAGAAAAGAAAAACAGCAAGAAATTCATAGTGTCTTTTTAAAGTCTTTTTCCTCCAGTCTGACATGTACAACTTGAAGGAAATATAAAGAACTAAAACGAGAACCCTGCTTATAAAGGGGAATACTTCATTATGATATTTGCATATCCCTAGAGAGGTATAAAGAAGCTCCTAGAAAATCAGGTCACGTGGAGAGTTTGTGTACCATAAGAGGATCAGATAAAGTACATATTTTTCCTTCCTTCCTTCCTTCCTTCCTTCCTTCCTTCCTTCCTTCCTTCACTTCCTTCCTTCCTTCCTCAGATCACAATACAAAACCATTTCTCATGCTTGTAGCACAAGACAGATTTTCAGTCTTATATCAGCCCCATCCAGATCTTTGGGAAAATTTATCGATACTATTGATTGATTGATTGATTTTCTATATTATCCACCTTGCCTAAGATTTAAAGGCCATTGTTTTCCTTCCTCCCTTCCTTCTTTCCTCCCTCTCTCTCTATATTCACAACCCAGCCCAAATGCCTGTTAGAAAACTAAGATTTTCACCATCTTTTGTCAGCCTAATCCTGATCTTTGGGCAAATTTCCCACCATTCAATAAGAGGATATAGATAAAGTCCATCATTTTCCTTCCTTCCTTCCTCCCTCCCTTTCAAAATTTACAATCCAGCCCTAATGCCCATTAGAATAGTAATCCCAATCAAAATCTTAGGGCAAATTTCCCAATACTCATTATAATGTAAAATAGTTTTTTTTTTGAGACCTCAATCATACCTTGTCAGAGAAAAAAGAATTTTATTTCCCATATTGGACTTCCTGTTTGAATCCAGCTGTTTCATTGGCACTTAGCTATTCAGAAAAAAATACCTAGTATACGCATATAGGTGGGAAGTTGTTGTAGGATGCTGTTACTCCTGATATTTTACTCTCTTTGCACATGACATGTAACCAGTTTCCTCAGATATCCCAAAATTTACTTTGTGTCTATTTAATCATAGCTTGACTGTATTTATTAACTGTAGAAATAAAGGTGTCCTTTATTTATTCACAGCAGCACAGCAATTGCCTCAGTTCGAAGTTGAGGAACGATGATTTCAAAAAAAAGGATCCTACAAAGATCTCAAGAAGTATTATGGATAGATTCTACCACTATTCTTAATAGCTGCAACAATTCTGGTCTCCTTTTCTTTAAAAAAAAAAAATTATTTGTTTTTTAACATACAAAACACAACGACAAAACATAAAAGTATCAGCTCCCCCATATTTTTGTACACACAGTAAGTCGGTTGGTCCATCAGTTTTGTGCATTCACCTCATAGTCACAATTACAATTACCTTATATAATACTCTTATCAATACAAATTAATAAATCATAGTATCGCTATTAAAAAAAAAGAAAAAAAATTGACTAAACTTTTATTCGGTCATGCCTTTATGAGATAACTATATTTTAAATATTTTATTCTAAAACAAATCTTATAATCATACCAATTCTATCCCAAATAGGAAAAAGAAAGAAACAGAAAAACTATTATATATATATAGTATCAAAAACCAATAAGAGGAAAGGGAAAATAAAGTCATTATTATTCCTTATTATCTAACTTTTATATTTTAATATTTCATCATTCAACCATTGATAGAAAAGATCCCAAACTAAATAAAATTGTCTATCTTCTTGCTCTCTAATTTCAAAAGTCAATCTACTCATCTCAGCACATTCCAAAATTTTCTTTACAACTTCTTCTTGCAATGGAATTCTCTCATTTTTCCAATTTTTTGCAAATACAATCCTAGCAGCAGTCAATACATTTACAATCAAATATTTCAACTCTTTACTATAAGTATCTGGTAGGATTCCCAATAAAAAAAACTCCGGTTTCAAGTCTATATGCTTCTTCGTCATTTTTTCCAGCCACATGTGGATTTTAGTCCAATATTTTCTAGCATCCTCACAAGTCCACCACATGTGATAGTATGAACCAGGTTTCTGATGACACTTCCAGCATTTTTCAGATTTGTTCTTGAACATTCTTGCTATTCTTGTCGGGGGAAAATGCCACCTGTAAAACATCTTATACAAGTTTTCTTTATAGGCTGTAGACATTGTCATTTTATAATTTTGCAACCATAATTTCTGCCATTTCTCTAAATCAATCCCATATCCAAAATTCCTCCCCCACGCAATCATAGTTTCTTTAACTTGTTCTTCCTCAAGCTTAATTTGCAATAAATAACCATACAATTTTTTAATCACCTTTTCATCAGTACCCATCAAAATCTTATCCAAGTCAGTTTGCTTATCATAAAATCCCTCTGCTTTGGAATCCTCATAATACTTTGAATGTATTT